CCTTGGCGGCCGCTTCATTAGTGAATTCGGCCTCGAGGCTTATCCTCACCTCTCCACCGTCCACCGCATGACCACCCAGCCCTCTCAGCTCTACCCAGGCTCCCTCATCCTCGACTTTCACAACAAGGGCATCTTCAACGAGCGCCGCATGGCAACATACGTCGCCGAGAACTTCCGCCTCAAGCACGACCTTGCATCCTATATCCACCTCACGCAAGTCGTCCAGGCGGAAACCATGCGTTTCGCTTACAAGACATGGCGCAGGGACTGGGGCCGTCCAGGAGACCGCAAATGCGGCGGCGTGTTAGTCTGGCAGCTGAATGATTGCTGGCCGACCATGTCATGGGCCGTCGTGGACTACTACCTCGTCAAGAAACCTGCCTACTATTCCATCTCCAGGGCGTTGCGACCCCTTGATATCGGAGTTTCGAGAACATATCACGATTGGACTCAAACGGGGTACTTTGTCGACGAAGAATCTGGGCTACGGACTGGACAAGTCGACCAGACGCTTCCTGCTAGAAAGTCTGCATTCGACCTCTGGATAGCCAGTAGTCACGTTGAGCCTATCACTGCTGAAGTCTATGTGCGCTTCATCTCCGTCCGTTCTGGAAAAGATGTCTCCCCTAGCTTATCCCAAACCATCACTGCATCTGCCAACGGCACAACCGACGTCTTCTCTCAAGAGCCACTACAGCCTGCTATTCCCAACCATGAAGACCTCACTATCCCCTTTGATGTCACCCAATACGACCCCTATGTGATCTACACGACCCTCTCTGTGGATGGCTCCGTGATTGCTACAGACACAGCATGGCCGGATCCCATAAAGTTTCTCGACATGCCTGACCGGGTGGTAACCTTCAATGTGGACACCGCCAATAACCAAGTGACTGTGTCTTCGGAACGGCCCATCAAGGGATTTGTATTTGAAGAAGAGGAAGGCATGAAACTAAGTGATAATGGATTCGACATCGTGCCAGGAGAGAAGCATTTTATTAAAGTCGAAGGTCCAGTCAAAGCAAATAAACTCCGCTGGACGTATATTGGTGCTCCGGATGCCTCTCTACAAATCAAGTAGCACAGTTGCGGGGGAAAGAATATTAGATTAATGGTGCGGCTAGTGTTAGGAAAACGAAGCATGCCAATAGGGCATTTTCCGTCTTTGGATTCCTGTATTTAACAAACGAACAGCCATCTCGTACTACAGTTAACAAGTAATGGTATAGGTATCGACTTTTGATTTGCCGCTGATAATACAAGTATGTTACCCATTCTCATCTTGCCCCATGATGCATGACCGTCATATTCGCCAATCCCAACTTTCTGAAACAAATCAAACAGCGTGTCTACCCCTCTTAACCGGAGGCGGTGACCTAGAAAGACTCTCCCTATGCCTCCTCTTCGTAGGCACGGGACTGCGAGGCCATTGCCTTTTAGGCCCATCGAAAGATGCAGATCTACTACGCTCCCGCAACTTCGGAGGACTCCTACTCCTTCCCGGCGAGAGAGAATCTCGACGTCCGTTTCGACGAGGGGAAAGACTGCGTTGCCTTGGTCTTCTTGGTGGTGGCGAGCGCGAGTCATACGATGGTGATCGAGTGTCGCGTCTGCGCTTGTTACGCGGAGCACTGCTCACTGAAGAGCTGTTTCGGCGATAAGAACCTGCCCTTTCAGGAGAGGAGCGGGCACGTCCACGAGTATTAGGGTGGGGGGGGGAACTAGATTCGGATTCTAGTCGTCCACGTGGAGAAGGAGATCGACTGTATGAGCTGTATGAGGCACTGCGGGCTCGACCTCTTCGGACAGGCGGAGGCGGCGGGGATCTTGATATGCTGCCGGAGATGGATCTCTCTCCTCGCCGGGGCGGAGAAGTGGAGTACGAATCTTGTCTCCGTTCACGTCCACGTCTGGGGGGAGTGTTGGAACGTGAGCGTGAGACTGAGCGCGAGCTGTATGATGCCGATCGAGATCGAGATCGAGATCGAGACCCAGACCGAGATAGATTATCAGAATACGACCGTGATCTCCTGCGGCCGGAAGAAGCTCGCGAAGCTGAGCGACCCCTGATTCTGCGAGGCGTTCTCGATCGCGAGCGTGATGAGTATGAAGAGTAGCTTGACACAGAGTCTGAATCAGACTCTTCTGCGGCTGCCGGAGCTGGCAAAGCAGGTTTGGGCATATTCTGGAGATACTCTCTCATTTCTTCGGTGAGAGCGCCCAACCCAATACTAGTAAAGTAATTGATGGAAAATCGAATATGTCGAGCACTGTCCCTAGGAAAGATGCCTTCCAAGCTTGGCCGCAAGATCTCATCCGACATTCTCGCCCGGAGCTTGGGTATACCAATTTCTTCCACAATACTCTGAAACAAAATCTTGATGAAGATGCGGCTGCTCGACGTAGTCTCGTCTTCATTTAGATGGATGGCGGATAGGCAATGCCAGCCAATAGAGTCAACACCAAGCATGTGACCGAATAGCTGAGCAATGTTACGTAGCTTGTTGTTTTCGTATCGATGGATGGTCTCGTAGTATTTGACAAACGACTGCTCAAACAGGTCGCACCAGAGCCGGTTGATCTTGGCAAATCTCTCGCCGATAAGACCGAAGAATTTTGTATAGGTTTTTTCCTGGGAGCAACACTCAACGATCATGGAAGGTAACTCGGGCTCCTGGCCGGCAGGAAGATTTATCTTCATGAGCTTGTGCACTGCTTCTTCGGGATCAGCACTCGACATGATGGTAAGATAGATGGTCCTCCGCAAATTGACTAGATCAGTATTGGACTGATCCTTGATCTCCATGGCTTTTGTCTCCTGTTCTTCCTCTTGGTCGGAACTCTCGTCCGAGCCATCCTCGTCGTCATCATAGTCGCTTCCCTCGCCAAGAATCTCTGCCTTGAGCTTTTTATATGCATCCTCATTGTCTTCCCAGTCAGGATCAAACTTGAAAATATTCAAACCATCCTGAACATCAATCTCGCCGTCCAGTTCAGCCCGGTGCGTGATTTGATCTTCCTCCTCAACCAGATCCAATTCTTCCTTGATGGCGGGATTGTCCTTGAACTTGTCTTTGCGAACTTGGAACAGAACTTCAATCATGTACTGGGTTCGCTTGTCGATGTCGGCCTCGTTCAGAATATTTCTGAACTGATCAAACACTGCGACGGAAATGGATGGCTGCATATCCTCCAAGTACTGCCCAACCTCCCGACAGAATCCGACAGCAATCTCCACACTATCGTCGGTTGGCTTGTGCAGCAGCAACAGAAGGATCTGTCCCGCAAGCATTTCATGTTGCACTTGCTGGTTGATCAGGTGCGCGAGGAAAGTCGTCGACGAGAGACAAACAGACTTGTCGTTTCGCTTGAAGCCCTTTCGAAACTGCATAACTAAGCGCTTGATCAGCAACTCGCCAACCTGAGGAAGCTTGGTGTTGACAATGGCTGCCATGGCGGCGTAAATGGGCGTGAAGGGCAAGCTTGCAGCTTGGGCCTTCATGATGGATCGGCAGAACAGACCGCGTCCTCGCACGAGATTTTCGCCAAACAGCTCCGGAACGATGTGCTTGATGTTGGCGGTGTTGACCTTGTTGATCAGGCCATTGATGCTCTTCTTCAGCGCTTCCCAGGCCATGCGCTGATACTCCTTGCTCGTTTTGTCGGTGATTTGCGCCTGCAAGGCCCGCAGCCTCGCCGGCGGGATGTACGTTCCTCCAGATCGCATGTTAAGCAGCTTCTCGTACTCTGCCTTGGCTGCAGCCTGCTTCTCCTCTTCGGTTCGCACGGGGGGCGGCGTGCGCTCTCGCGGCGGCGGCGGACGGTACGAGTCGCCATCTCGCTTGGAGCCGCGTTCGCCTCTGTCGCGATCACGATCTCGCTCGCGACGCGGAATGCCCACTTCGGCCGACGCCATCGCGGGTTGTGGAAGTTACGATGGATGCGGGATGTGCGTGCAGGAAGGAAGATGGGAGGTTTTGGACAAGAGCAAACCTGCTACTACTTCCAGTGGTTGATAGCCCAGGCTGCCTGCGTTGTCTGCCTGGAGTGGTTGGTCTGGTAGAAAATATCCACGCACGGACCACACAAGCAAGGCTTGAAGGGAGTACTCCGTAATCCGCAATCCGCACATAAAGTGAGTGTCCACACACCTGCTAGCGTGGAAAGACACCTGAAGGTGTGCCAAAACTTTATGCTACCCACTTGCCACTGTATCTGCTCAGTGAGGATGAATATCTGTGTGTGGTTTGAATCTATGCCAACTCGTCCTAAACTCACATAGATGACTACCAGTGATTTAGAAAAGAAAAGAAAACCCATACATATATATAATTGGAAACCAGGATGTTACAGTTGTTTTGACTAAGCTTTAACTACAATGCTTATGAAGATGTGCAGACATGCACTCGCTCGTGTGGCTCCATCTTGGCCTGCATGAACCACACCAAAGAACTCGCGATAACTACGGAGTAGTCCCAATAAATTCAAAGCCGCCCGAAAAGACAACCGAAGTAGCCATTTCGACCAGGTGCCGAATTAATGAAGCAGTCACAACACAATCATGTCGATCGAAAGAAAAAGGCCCCAGCACCTCTATGAAGGCGTCAGCAGCGGCGAAGCAAGGGCTCGAAGTGCAAATATAAATTACAAGAAAGGGCTCCTCAGATCTTAAAACAGGGGGGTTCATAATTTCCTCTCGTACTCTGTACCTGCGCAATGTGTTTGATCCCGCTTGGTGTGAGGTGCGTTGCTAAGGTCTCTGGATTCGCATGTCTCTACTCCGTACGGAGTAGCCATCGGCGTAAGATCTCGATTGAACAGCCTAAGTTCGCAGCAGCCCTTCCTCTATCGAATTGTGCTCAGTGCCGCTGCTATCGAAAAGACAGGCCTCTGATTGCTGTACTCTCCATATCGGAAAGCGGGCTGAATACGGAGTGACACAAAAATTACCGGTATAGAGTATATAATGATTAACAAGGTCTTCCTTTCTCAAGAGCAATGGGGGGCTGGCGCAACGGTAGCGTATCAGATTCCAAATCTGGTGGTTGTCGGTTCGAATCCGGCGTCCCTCAGTCTTTTTTTAATATTCCAGCTACTTGCTACGTCTACGTGGCCCAGATACTTAGATTTTTACTACGCATTAAATTGCTCAAAATCTCCTAAATTGCTAGTGTATTTTTCAGTAAAGTAATGAAAACTGTGGTATGTTTACTTATATCAGAACCTATCTTACAGTGTGCTATATCGAGTCTTTTGTGTTGAACTTTTCTTTTGCCTTTTCTTTCTCTCTTAGTTGACACAATAACAAGTTTATGCTAACTCGGCAGCCTCTAATAGAATTGACCTCGGGGCTAAAAGCAAATTGTAAATGAAGAAGAATAGAAAGAGAAGCTACCCTCCCTATACAGGCTCTCTTTATGTCTAGGCTATGCAAGGCCCTGTCAAGGGGATCAATGCCGCCTACATTCACGGCGTTATTTAGACAGATAGATATAGAGATATGATGTTTGACTAAAACCCGAAATAGCTATTCGTACAGCGGTGCTCATAGCAAAACGCAGGGCAGGATTCTTCGCGGCAGACAACGCTCAGCTGCTCGGTGAAACGTTTCTTCACAAAATCGGTTGCAACCAAGTATTATCTACTCTCAACTATTCACTAGATGCTTCTCACATTTAACTTTAGGCTCAATTCCTAGCTAGCAGGTCGGCATGAATAACTTAGCAACCAGTATGCTTCATAACGTGGGACGCTCATCACTGTCGAACAAAATTCTACCCCCTCCAGAAGCACTACTAGCGTGGGCATAATCCATTTCTTCGTAAAGGGGAGCAAGTACGCCTGGGCATGGCGAGAGCCGCAAATTATGTTATGGCATGCTCCATAGCCCCGAAATTATCAGTATAGTCCGGTCAATATTGGTTGCAAGAATCTGTGCCGGCTATGTAGGGCACATCAGTATGGCTTCTGCCCGACTCTGAACCATGGTTAATAACAGAGCTATATCGCTCTCGCCCTCCAGAACAGCATTTCCACTTACACATTTCCTTCGGGGAAGAATCGACAGACGTCGAAGAATTTGTATGGCTCAGAGATGGAATATGCTCTGGCACACCCAATGTGTGTGGTAGTAGACCACATGCACTGCGCTATACATCATGTCAGCATGTTATTCCCAAACGAGTGTTCTGTGCTGAATAGATAAAACTCATACCCCAGTGCAGCCATGGCTCATGTCCTGTAGCAATAGGCTGGCCAGTATACAGAGGCTCCTGCGAGAGCCAAGCATGCATTCCCGTCTGGAGTGGGCTGGCGTATGCCGCATCACACTGCCCGGCCGATTGCTCGTACAGGTTTTCGCCTTGATTCGGTCGGTAGACACCCTGCGCATGTTCGAAGATTTGCCGCCCACTAGCCATTTCATTTGCCCAGAGTTGAGCATAAGAGCCCAGGCTGGAGTCCCAGGCTAGAGGTTGGACTCCTTTGGCTTGGCGAGCTAGGTTCACCATTGTCAATGCGCTGTTGGCATCATTGGTGGTCGAGCCAACGCAATTACTGTAGCTTAGGAGTAGAAAAGCTACCCAACCTGGAAAGCATGTCATGACGTCGAAGCTGTCAAAGTTGTCAAAGTTGTCGAAGTTGTCGAGCGTACTGAGTCTCTTGACGAATGAAGAACTTTGTTTACTGGCTTTGCATCAAAGAAGGAGGGTTATGCTCGTTATGCAGCATCAGGCTCGCGGTTTTGCAATTTGATCCATACCACTGCCCAACGTCCGGGCATCTTGCACAACGTCGCTATCTTGCGATCGTCTTGAGAAGGAGCAAATGGACTTGCACCCAAACCAGGTAAGCCGCTACATACATACGGCAACTGCCAAGTGGGAGTACAGTACTACCTTGTCACCTCAGATAAACCTCGAAATTTTCTTGCCAAGTTTGCCTGGTATCCCACTGGCTTTGGTGTAACTAATCCAGTAAATGGCTCTCTCATGTTTGAAGGGCCATGGCGCGAATAGAGATGGCTCGGACTTATTGCTGGTACTGCTGTACGGAGTACGGAGTAGCAAGGCCAATTCCCAAGTACGGAGTACAGGCCAGTCGCAACTGAGGTCCTCATCCCGCACAGACCAAGCGCCTTATGACGTCCCGGTTTCGCGAACTCTCCATCGCAAAACTTCAATGACCAGCAGCGAAAATCTCAAACCTCTTGTCTCTCCCTCTCTCCTTGTCACACACAATCATCAGCCATGGCCGCCAAGACAACGCACCTGCTCCCTCGCCTTCTGCGCACCCTACACCCTCGAGCTCTTCGCGCAATCCCTATTCAAACATCCTTCTGCGCCCCTAAAATATCACCCATCGTCATCCGCGCCACGCACTCGATCCCCCGCCCTCCCAGAAAACCAGTCCACCTGAAGCCCGAGGTGGAAGCACAAGCAAACACGTCAGGCGAGGCGCCCATCAGCGAAGGCGAACGACCAGAAATCAACCCCGCTTACTACCAGTTGTCATTCACGTGTGTGCCTTGCGGACACCGATCGCATCACAACGTCTCCAAGCAGGGTTATCACACGGGCTCAACACTGATTACATGTCCTAGCTGCCGAAATAGGCATGTGATCAGTGATCACCTGAACATATTCGGAGATAGAAAGATCACCGTAGAGGACTTAATGAGGGAGAAAGGCCGTTTAGTGAAGAGGGGAAGTCTTGGTGAAGATGGCGATATTGAATTTTGGCCCGACGAGTCAACTAGTCCGGAAGCTTCGAAGGAGAGATAATATGCATGACGTATATATGTTGTGAATGTGGTTTGTATGATTATGGGGTTTGCATATTGGCGTTGTCATTTCTCATGGGAAATTAGAGTGTTTTTGTGGATATTCAAAAGTTTGGCTGACATGCCATTGTATTTGCGCTCTATACGTACAACATCGTATCCCTTGCGGGCATGAAATACTCGATGAGAACAGATATTTTGTAAACGCCCGAATGATGATCCATATAAATTACGCCAGCCTAATGCCCAAGTTTACCATCCCTTGTATGACTGTCTTGCCACCTTTTGTTCCTTTGATCGTTCTTTTCTTCTCTCCTTGTTCTTCTCGAACTTCTTTCTCTTATCTCGCCCATACTTCTCTGGTTGGGTGATGGCCTCAATCTTTCTCTTGCTATTTCTCTGCTGTCTCCTCGCTTTTACCTCGTCCCGAATCTCCACCAAGACCTTGCTATATTCGGCTGTACCAAACTTCTTCTGCAAAGAGTCCATCATGATCTGAGCTCTAGTCTTAACTCCCTCAAGTTTTGTCTTGAAGAGCTCATCATTGCTGAACGGAGGCGGGATGGATGGATCCGTGAGTTGCTGCAATGGGACCAGAACGGTTTTCAGAGACGGCCTGCTCGGGGTATTGAATATGCGGCGACACACCGTCTCCAAAATTTCCATTGCAGCAACCTTGGAGTTAATGGCTGACAGCCTCGGCGGAATCTCTCGTCGGAGGATGTGGGATAACCTCCAAAACAAATAGTCCACACCTTGCCGGCGTCCTTGGGCAGCCGCATCTTCATCATGCTCATCGACCTCTTCCTCGTCGTCCGCACCAACAGCTGAGACGGGAAGGCAGGTCCCTAGAAAGACGATGACCTGTACCAATTCTGCAGCTAATGTCTCGTCGATTTCATTACTATTCAGTGACCCAAGTGCAAGGCGAGTAAAATCATGCATGGCTTCCAGGTCCAGCGTCAGTCCGTGAGAGCCTTCGATCGCCTCGCCCGCAAATGCCTTGGTTCGCTGTTTTGCGAAGTCCGCGAGATACGAGTTGATCAACCGCACAGCAGACAACTTCACAGATGGCTGAGAGTGTCGGAGATAGCGGCCAGCATCGGCCCAAAGCTCTTTTTTGTTTCCCGAAAGCGTTTCCTCGCGCAGTGTGACCGCGAACAGGCGAAGAACATTCAGTGTCGTCTCAATCAGTTGGCTGTCAGCGTCGTTGATATCTTGATCCTTGAGAATCGTTGCCGACTTCTTTAGAACCAATTTGCAATCCTTGTTGTTATTGTGAGCATCGTCGCGTGACTCGAAATAGTAGCCGAATGTTTGTAGACCTAATCTCTGTAGTGTTGCATTGTCGTCCTTGTTCAGCCAGGTTCGCAGCAATACCAGAAACTGCTGAGTTCGTTCCTTGTCGGCTTTGTGGAAAACTTCCTTCATCAACTCTCCCGCAGATAGACGGCATTTCTCGCTATCATCGTTGGCCAAAACGAAGAACAAAGGGAGGAAGCACGTTCCGATGACTTCTTGAACAAATTCGATGGAAGACTTCATCAATAGAAGATGGATGACCTCCATGACAGATAGTCGGCCGCCTTCCCGATCATACTTCAAATTTGCCACAACGAAATTGAGCTGTTTGCTCCAGCGTGCTTTCTTTTGAGGATATTCTCGAATGAATTGGAAGAAAGCTCCGCGAGCCAAATCTCTTGTGTCTTTGTCATCGTTCGTAACCATCACCGTGCCAACATGGTCCAAAATATCATAGACCGCAGCCGTCTCAACGCGACGGTCCATAACAGATCGTAGGAAGTTGAAGGTAACATGTCTGTAAAGAGGCTCCGTAAAATCATCTTTCAGTTTCCCTAGCAGCATGTCGATTGCAGCATCCTTGACAGCGACGTCTTTACGCTCCCGTAGCAAAACGGCTAGAAGCTTGAGTGCAGCCTGTGATATCTCTGTTGTCGTAGACGTCGATTGTGAAATACTCCTCGTAGCTTCTTTTACTGCCACTTTGTAGAGGTTGTTGCCGTCCTCAGAGTCAAATGGCACCTTGATGAGCACTGCAAGTAGACGGAATGCAGATATTTTGACCTCATCCTCTCCACCTACTATAGCATCTCCTATGATTGGCAGAAATCCCGTGACATTGACAGGAGTTCGCAAATCGTCATGCTTTTTGAACATCGAACGCAGGATGTCAAAGGCAAAGCGCAACATTTTGTAGGTATGCTTTTCTGTTCTACCGCGCTCCCCGCTCTTCTTTGCTCCCTTCTGGACCAGGTATTTTCTGACTCGGGG